AGTATGTCGCTGTTTGGGACTGTCTTCTTTTACTTAGTATGCTGTTTTCGGGGTTCATCATGTTGTAGCATGCTTCGGTACTTCATTTCCTCTTAAGGCTGAATAATATTCCATTGCATGGATTTACCACATTCTGCTTACCCATTCTTTTGTTGGACATTCGCTGGGTGTGACTAATGCTGCTCTGAGCATGTGTGCACATGTACTTGTTTGGCTCCCTGTTTTTATTTCTTTGGGGAAATACACCTGGGAATGGCACTTCTGGGTCATATAGCGATTCTATGTTTGACTTTTCGGGGAGCGGCAAGGATGCCTTTTCCCAATTCATGCAAAGGCACGCAGGCACTGTGTGGGTGGCACAGTGGCCCTCCAGAGTCACACAGCCTGCAGGGCTCACAGCCACCCAGCTCTCACCAGCCGCCCAGCCAGGGGCTAGAGGCTCCGTGGATGTGACTTCCTTCCACCCTCAGGACCATCATCTGGGCAGGAGGCAGGGAAGGGGCTCAGACCTGAGCACAGCCGACCGAAGCGCGGTTTCTGACCACTGTGATTATCGGACGTGGCCCATTATAACCTGAGGCCCATTGAAAAGCCTAGGCTTTTTCTTGGTCTTTCCCTGCACTGTCTGTACCCTCATCCCCACCCACTTTGGGGGCTGGAGGCCAAAGGAGGGTTCCCTTCAAGGGGAGGTGGCCACATGACCCCCATCTGTCACCTGTCATCCACCATCCATCATCTGTCAGCCCCGGGGAGCTGCGGGCAAGGTCTGAAAACTGGGGCAATTAATGCCCCTGCTCTGTAGCCCTGCTTGCCTGCGCCGTGCCGGCAGCGCCTGGCTGAGCACCCCCGCTGGGCCCCCTGTCTCCAGCCCAGCGTGGGGAGCAGAGGTGTCCTCGGAACTTCCTTGGCAAAGGGCTCCAAATGAGCGAGGGTGCGGGCCTTACTCGCCAGGCCCCCGCGGCTGTAACTCCACCTACTTTCTGCAGAATCAATTATTGATGAGGGCCTTACAGTCCGGGAGACCCAGGGGAGTATTCTGGCTGCCTTCCAGTCTCCACGAGAGCAGAGGGGCAGGGGCAAGATGAGCTTGTTCCTGAAGTCATGGCCAGTGAGATGCTCCAGGTTATGGTTTCCAGGGGTCAGAGGCCCAGAGCATGCTCAGGCCAGGGGGCACCTCTCCCCTGTGGGGGACGAGGGAGCCCTGGGGCCACTTTGCTTCCCCGGAGATCTGAGAGGGAAGCAAGCTGTTTGAAGGGCCTGCACACCAGACCGGCAGCTCCCATCGTCGCCTGGCGCGCAGGCTCAGACAGGTGGCTGGTGGCCCTGAATGCTGGGGAGGTATCCGGAGCGGGGGGTGGAGTCAGGAAGGATCCGCTCTGCTGGGAAGGAGGCGGTGTGACAGCCACAGCGCCTGTCTGCCCATCAACTTCCCTCAGGGGAAGGCCCGACATATGGAAAGTGACGTTGGGAGGCCGGAGCAGATGGCAGAGTGGTTCTGGAGCTGCCGGGCGGGTGTCTTGTCTCAGGGCAGTGGCCAAAGCCTCGGGCTTCCTGGGTGGCGGTGCGCCAGCCCATCTCCACTTCATCCCCAGGAGCCCCTCTCCCTCAGCAGAGGAGGCCGCTCTGAGCTGTGCGCCACTGCTTCGGGGGGCTCCCCTGCTGTGTCCCCTCTGCAGCCATGGCCTGGAACTCATTGTTTCTCTCCCAGGGCCTCTCCTCAGTTCACTAGTTCTTTTTTTTTTTAAAGATTTCATTTATTTATTTATTCATTTTTAGAGTGTGTGGAAGGGAGGGTGAAAAAGAGGGAGAAACATTTGATGTGTGAGAGAAACAGAGACCGGTTGCCTTTTGCACGCCCCCAACTGGGGACCTGGCCCGCAACGCAGGCCTGTGCCCGGACTGGGAGTCAACCAGTGACCTTTCAGTTCACAGGCCGACGCTCAGTCCACTGAGCCACGCCAGGCAGGGCTCGCTTCACTAATTCTTACTCGTGTGAATGAGTGAACATGTGACTGTGTGAACATGTGATTGAAACTGATCTTCTGTCCTTCTCTAAGTTCCAGTTTCCTAGCTCTTAGGTGACCTTAGGTATCCCTGCTTAAGGTGCCCAGAGTCCCTCTGGAGAGTGAGGTTTGTCTGGGAGTGGCTCCTATCCCCTTCCCCAGACTGAAATGAGAGTTGAATGGATCTGTGGCCTCCCCTCCCTTCCAGAGGCCCCACACAGGGGCTGGGACGGCAAGCAGGCACCCAAGGCACAGGATTGGAGGCTGAGAGTGAATACCCTGCTAAGAGTCTTTGTTACGTGGCTGCGGAGCTGGGGAAGGACTAAAACATGGGGGCGGGGGAGCTGGGTGTAATGAGGGAAGGGGTTGAGTTTTTGTGGCTCTGCTGGGGACTCTGAGGAGGGCTGGGCATGGTGGGGCCATACAAATAAACCACAAGAGGGTGGGAGAGGAAGCCCAGACACCGACAACTACACCCAGAGGTAACAAGTGCTCCAGGGGATGCATAAAGTCCTGCTGGAGCTGGGCAATGAGCTGTTGGGCAGAGAAGAGGGCCAAAGCCCAGGCACGAAGGGGCCAGGGATGGAGGCCGGAGCCCAGGGGCCTGCAGGGGTGGGCTGGTGGGCCAGGGAGGGGCCGCAATGCCAGGGTGGGAGTATGCACCCAGAGAGCAGGGCAGGAGCAGGGCAAGGGTCGGCGGGGATCAGGCAGAGGGATAAGAGGTTACAGGCAAATGTGGAGGTATTTAGAGAGAATGTTTTGTTGACTTGTCATATCAGCAGAACCACACTGCAGTGATTTTGATGGAGACACTATATCAACCAGTGGGAAACTGAGCACACACAATGGGCAACGGGAAGACAGTTTAATAAAGGGCCGTTAACGGAGGGTGGGTGCACACGAGACAGTGGGCCGAGCTCAGGAGCTAGTAACAGGAGGACACCATTATTGCCCCCAATTCTGGGGCCTGAAGGGGCGAAGTGAGAGAGCCGTAGAGAGCGCCAGTCCACCCGGCCCAGGCTCTCCCATCCTGTGTTGCTTCTTGTTGTGTGCTGCGAACCTGGTCCTAATACACCCCCAATGTGGCCTGCCCCCCAAGATTGTGTCTAGTGGGCCAAGCTGGGATAGCAGTCCATGGAAGGCCAGCAAGGCCTCTTTGGGGAACTCTGTGCAAAGCTGTAACTACAAGTGTGACCATTGCAGCACCTTCTGTAAAAGCTAAAAGCTGACTCAAACCAAACATCCCATGTCTAGGGCAGGGTAAACGGACTCTGGTCCATCCACACGAAGAAAAACAGGCGGCTGCTGAAGGGGCATGCAGGCTCGGTGTGGGGGAAAGGGCTCCCGCGGGTCATCAAGGACGCACACTGCCAGGTAGCGCGCGCAGACAGGAGTTGCTCCAATTAAACAAGCCAACAAAAGTCATGGTTGTACTCATGCAGACACAGTCTGGAAGGAATTCTACCAACTATGAACACCGCTTACTTCCCAGAAGTACTACCGACTGGAGGGGAACCTTCACTTTGTATACAAAGCTTTGTACTCTTGTTTTGTTTTACAATAAGCACACAATTCCTTTAACAGTGATCTATACAAAACAGTATTTTATACCTATTTAAAAAAAAGAGAGTGAGCTAAGCATGTGGCGAAGGGGGAATAAACAGAAAAAGATGCCAGTGTTCTCCCCGACTGATGTGTGGCAGTCGCTGTGAGCGCCCTGGTGTGTCGGGCACCGTCTGGGATACTGGGCCACAGCGCCGAGCAGAACGGCTGCCTGCAAAATGCTGGCCACCTGCAAGAAGCATGTGGGAGGTGTCCCACGTGCCTGCCCGCCCAAGGCACAAGGTGGGCAGGGATGAGTGGGCATACACCCAGGGCTGCGGGGATGGGGGGTGGGGTGAGGGGCAGTTAATAGCCCCCATGGAGGAGCGACATGCGGGCGTGCAGAGATGAGGCGCTCTGGGCAGGAGCTGGATGGGGCCCGGGCTGTTCCTGCCTGTCTGGGTGCCCAGGATGGGTGGTGGAGACAGGAGCACACTAGACTCTGGAGGGCCTCTGGTGTCCTCCAAGGACATGCGGATGCCATCGCAAAGGTCCTGAGAGCCAAGTGCCCAGCACTTTCTCGTTCCCGGGCTGGTGGAGAGAGCGGTCGTGAAGGCAACAGTGGGCACTAGCCCAGCAGAGACTGGGGAGCACTGCTGGTGGCAGAGCAGGGCAGGGCCGTGCTCAAGGAAGTCGCAGTGAGTTACCCCTGGGGCAGCTGGGCAGCCGTTTTCCTGCAGCTCAGTTGGAGAAATTCATTGTCCAGGTGGGCCAGTGGAGTATGAGTGGCCTGCTCTGTTGGTCCTTTCCCACTGACCAGACGGCAGAACCCTGGGGATCGAGGAGCCGGAGATGGACCCTCAACCAGAAGGGCCCAAAGAGTTCCTCTCACCCATCCTCCTCCAGAGAGGCAAGGCCACCCAGGGACCCTGCGAGACTGTGGCAGAGCGACCGTCGACAGGGAGACCGAACTGCGAGTCCTGTTGCAAGCATAAAAGTCCCAGGCAGGGAAGGCAGGCGAGTGATCCCTCACGTTCCGACTCTGACAAGTCCTGCATACCTGGGCCGCTGAGATCAGAAGGATCTGGAGGCCAACTCAGGGAAGCTGAGAAAGGGCGTCTGGGCGGACTGCTGACATGTGCCGAGGGCAAGGGATGTGGGCCATGGGGCTCATGTCCTCTGTCCGCAGTCTGAGGCCTCTCGAGGCCAGGGTGGGCTCGTGACACTGCAGGTGAGACTGTCTTTCCAGGTATCACCAGAGGGCCCCCACAAGTTGGGCAGTGCGGGGGCCCTGGGCAGCCAGAGGGAGCCTTTCCTAGCTCCCGACCTGCTCCAGAAGTGGCCGAGCGCTGGAGTGGCGGGTGGACAGGCGCATCCCAGAGCTTGGGCTCCATGCCACCCCTCCACGGTCACAGAAGTCACCGCCCACACGTGGGTGTGGAGTCGAGGCCTCCGTCACAGTCCCCAGCTAACAGCAACCCAGGCTGGAGGGCCTCTTGCTCTCCTGGGTCTCGGACGGACTTCCCTCCATATCTGTAAGGAGGGGAGAAGTCACTTGGCATCAAACAGGCACCTGCAGGGACACTGGACAGGGACCCACTACTGATACCCTCTGGTGACTGCTTATCGGAGCTGTGACCTTGAACTTCAAGGCTTCTTATTCAAGGCCTGGCACAAGGACACATTCCAGGCGGTGGAACAGAGTGGGCAAAGGCAGATACTAGGAGAGCCTGGACACATCCGTGGAGCCTGGAACGCTCAGCGTGGTCCATGAGGGGACTGCCAGGCAGACAAAGGAAGCAAGGGAGGAGTCTGCGCTGGCAGGTGGGCTCAGGAGGCTGCAGGCCTGAGTTCCGAGTGATGGGAGAAAGGACAGCCCAGAGAAGGGGGTGGGAGGGTGGTGGAAGTGGACTTTGGGCCACAGGCCTGCCTCCCGCCCCGGCCCAGCTGCCTGTACGCACGGATGAGATCTCCATCGCCGACCTGGAGCCGGGAGCTGTTCCTCCTCTCCAGGTGCTGCAGCACCGACTGCTCAAACGCCAGGGCGGCCACACGGCTGAAGAAGGCCTTCACATTCTCCCCTGTGAGCCCACGAAACAGTTGTGAGCCTGCCCATCTCTGTCCTCAGCTGCAGAGCATTTGGGCGGGAGCCGGTGGGTATGAGGGTCAGGGCAGTCCATCTCTGGGGCTGCCGGGACGGTGCAGTGCGGGGGACTGGCCAGCTGGCCCGGCTTCCCACCTGGCTCCAGCCCTCTCCCCGCTCTGGCCACTTGCCCAAGCAGCTTCCTCAAATCTCTGCACCTTGGCTTCGCAGAACCTATTCTTCCCATTAATCGGTACTGAGTGCCTCCTGCAGGCCAGGTGTGGGGGTGTGTGGTGATCAGAAAGATGCCTGCTCTCTTCCACTTGTGTGCCTGTCCAGCGGGCAGCTGTGAGGATGGACCTGTGCCGCTAGCCCTGACGCGGAGTCTTTGCGTGTCCTCCTCCAGGTGAAGGAAGCCGCCCATCTGGGTGCAGGATGGGGTGCCGGCTGCCCACATGCACACTGCCCTTGTGCAGCCAACATGCTGTTCAGCTGCACAGGGAATTCCGCTCGGCCCATAGGAGCTCTCAGTGGACCCGCCGTCACTCTGATGAGAGGGAGGGTTTTCATGGAGCCATCAGGGGACACCATCAGGGAGGAGCAGAGGGAACCAGGCCTGGGTGCTGCCGCATTTTTGTTTGTATTGGGCTGGAGGTGGTGCTTCTACCAGTGGCACCTACCCTCAACTGTCCCTCGCCCAGTCCCTGGCCAGTGTCTGCTCTGGCCCCTCACCAGGGCAGGGACGCTGTGCGGGTATAATTCCCGAGTCCCCAGATCCTCTGAGCACCAGGCACTCACTGCACGTTATTTCATTTCATGCCCCCAACGACCTGTGTTTTCAAAGTCTGTTCTTTGCTTCTCTGTATTGTCTATTTTTTTTCAGTGTAATTTCTTTTTACATATGGCTTTTGTAATTTCAAACATGTTTTCACTAAAAATAAAATGAGATGAACAGTATCACCTGCTTCCCAGATGAGGATATTGAGGCCCAGAGACGCTGGGCATCTTTCAGGGGCCATGGTGAGCAGTGGTCCATGGGGGAGGGTGGCTCAGGGACCAGAGGAAGGGTCAAGTGGGATCTAAATGAGGGCTGGAGGCCGTGAGCAATATTTCAGTGTCTTCCACATTGGCACCTGGGGAAGGGAGGGGGGCCCTGTTACTGGCGCCTTCTATGTGCCAGGTAGTCTCCCACCCAGCATGCACAGGCTGTGGGCAGGAAGCTGTGGGGTTACAGGTGAAGGCTGAATTCTAATCCTAGACCTGGCCCTGCACCCTGGGACCCTACAGTTGACTTAGCAGGGACAAAATGACCTGCCGGGAGGGCCAGGTGTCCCCTTCACTGTCATCAGCACAGCTGGCTGTGATGCAGGCACTCGACAGGGCCCCAGGAGGAAGTGCGTGAGTCTCCCACAGCTGGCCCCGAGTCCGCCGTGGCGAAAGGCCCACTCACCTGTCTTAGCCGACACCGACCAGTACTCCGCCTGCATCTCCTTCGCCAGGTCCACGGCCTCCACTTCCACCTGCTCACACGCTGCCCTTGACTGGGAGAAGCGGCCCTTGTTCGAGGAAGCTCCTGGCAAAGTGGCTCCTGGGGGGGTGGCTGCTAGCCTTCCACTGCGCCTCCTCCCTCCCCATTTCACCCTGGGCTGGGCAGGCCCCAGATCGGGGTTGGGGGGGTGGGTAGCGGATGCCTGCCCAGGGGTGAGACCCCAGCAGCCCCGGGCAAGTCTTCATGCCAGCTGTGCTCCCTTGAGATGAGCGCCCCCAACCGTCAGGCCACAGGCCTGCAGCCTGCAAGTTCTCACCTAGCCGTGTCAGTGCTACCCTCCTTCTCCCAAGCCTGGGCTGAAAGCATACACGCGTTTCTGGGGGCCACCCCAGCTCACCAGAAGGTCTTTCTTGTTTCCCACAAGGAATACAAGGCAGGAACCTGGCTCGTTCTCTCTCAGTGCATCCTCCAGCCACTGCCTGGAACACACAGGGGGCTGGAGTGGTGGCAGACTGGCTGGGATAGCCCCACCCACCCAGATGGGCCTTGGCTGGACCACAGGGGAAAGGGATTGCAAGGGCACTGGCCAGGGGAGGTGAAGACCGTCTTGGCCGTGGTTCTGCTCTTGTCCCTTGTCAACTTGGGTGAGTCCTGCTCTGTCATCAACTTGTATGATCACCCTGGCCTCCCTCACAGGGCTTGATAGATGCTAGATGTGAATGCCCGAACAACAGTGAAGTGAAGGGGTCTTTGGTCCATTAGCTGGATGGTTCCCGGCAGAAGCAGGGTGGCCTCCCAGAACTGGTCATGTTGCCAGGCAGCTCTCTTGACCAGATCTCTACCCAAGACAACAAATGCCAATCATGTTCCTTCAGACAGGACTGCTATATAATTTGCAGGGCCCAGAAAATGAAAATACAAGGCCCTGCATCTGGCAATAAGGCTTTCAAGATGGCAACCGCAGAGCATCTGAGCAAGCGCAGACCCCCGTGCGACTGTGCTGGCTGCGCACCCTGAGCCAGCCCCGGCTTTGGCATGTGGGTGCAAATCTCGAGGGATAATAAGGCAACTGAACGGTAAGTGGTCTGTGGGCATTCCTGACAAGCCAGCTGGTCACTCACACCTGCCATTGGGGCCCCAGCTCATGGGCCCAGATTTCAGGAGCCCTTCCAGGTCTTCTGAGCCCAGGAGAACCCCAGACTGCAGATTCCCAGACTTGCCTGGTATGTTCCAGAGTCTGCACGTCAGTGAAGTCAAACGCCGTGATGATCACTGCACATGCGGGGAAAACCGAAGAGCTGGTCAGTGACAGGTGAGGGAAACACAGCGTGACAAAGGGGGGGTTCCTTCATGTGACTCCCTGCTCCCCAGGGACTGCCAGGGTGGGACCTCAGGCACTCAGCTCTGGCCCCCACAATGGAGGCTGGGAAGGAGATATCCTATGGCTGCCCCTCAGGACGCACCCTCCCACGCTCTCTCTGACCCGCACCCAGCGGTGCAGCTACCGTGGGGGATACAGAGGCAAGAGGCACTTGAGGCTCCTGAGTGCAAATCTCCCCTCTGCCACGGCCTACACTGCCAAGAGCCTGACTTCCCACCTGTGAAACGGTGAGACCACCACCTCTAGTTCTCAGGCTGCTGTGAGGCATAAGCCAGGGCAGCTATTTTACAAGCTCTTGGTTAGGGGCCTCATGCGGGGCAGACTTTCAACCAACGGCAGCTACGCCGTGAGAGCAATTACCAACAACCAGCTTCAGGGAGAGTTTCTGGGGAACAGGGAGGGCAAAAAACAGGGAGACGCAGCCCGCCTCCTTGGCTCTCTCACCAGTGGCCTAGCCACCCCACCTCCTCCTCTTCTTTCTAGGTTCTCTGGACATACAGTCCTCCCTCCGTACATCTTTCTGAGCTGCAGCTGGGGCTGAGGCTCACAGGGAGCACCCATCCCCACAGGGTCCCCACAGTGTGTGACTGCTGAGGCCAATCCAGGCCCTGAGGGCTGGCCAGAGGTATCTCAGTGCTTCATGGGGGCAGATTTGGTGCCTGCACAGAAGCTCTGGACCTCTCAGTGTTGAGCCTGGCAGGGAGCCTTGTGCTGCACGATGTTGAGGGCCCCACCGCTGCCATCACCCGGCTGCTCACCCTTGGCACCCCGGTAGTAGGCAGATGCGATACACTTGAACTTCTCTTGCCCTGCTGTGTCCCAGCTGTGTGGTGGCAGAGAGACAGGGAAAGAGAGGTGGCAGATTAAGTGACTGCAGTGGTCAGAGCTCAGGGGGCTGGTGGGGCCATGGGCAGCAGACCCTGAGGGCCCAAGCCAGCTGCCCGGGCTTCAGGAAGTGCCTGCTGTGCCCACCTCCCAACTCCTTAGGGTCCCTTTTAGGGCACCCCACTGGGGAAGTCCCTAGCTGGAGGCACTGCACCCATGGGAAAAGGGCAAGGCCTTAGTAGTTCCCCTGCCTAGATGAGTGGAGTGTAGCTTGGTTCCTTCTGACCGTGCCATTAAAAAAGAGACTATGCCTCTATGTGCTCGTTGTGAAGATGTGGAAGTCCACCCACAGAGGTGGCCCTGTGGATGGGACCGCTGGACGGCCAGCTATCACTCTGCCACTTGCTCAGGTATGACTGGGCCATGGCTTTACCTTCTGCACTGCAGCGGAGGGCATGCTCAGCTCCTGGGTGGGGGTGAGGGTGTCTAACAGGGACATGGTTTGTATCTCCTGGGTGACTGAGCAGTTAGCTCTGGCTCTTCGGAGAATCTGAGCCTGGCTCCGTGGAAAGGAATGCAACAATCGGTTAATGATGTCTGCCATGGGCACACTCCAGGAGAGGGGGTGCAAATGCTGTGATCGACTGGCCCTGGTTTAGAACCCGGCCAGTAAGTCAATGTGCAGGGCTGAGTCTGAAAATCTGTCCTTTTAGAAAATCAACAGATCAAAATTTAATTTTTCTCTTGCCCTTTTTCTGAGCCCAGTGGGGCTCAGTTGGCTGAAGAGCTGTCCTGTAAACTGAAAGGCTGCTGGTTTGATCACTTGTTGGGGAACATGCCTGGGTTGTGGGTTCGATCCCTGGTCAGGTATGTGTACAGGAGGTAACTCATTGATGTTTCTCTCTTACATTTTTGTTTCTCTCTCTCTCTCTCTCCCCTCTTCCTCTCTCTCTAAATGCAATAAAAAAACATCAAATCAATATTTCCCTTTCTCCCTCCATTCCCTCTCTCTTAAAAAAAAATTTAACTTTTCTCAGTAAACTGACCAGTAGACAAGCCAGAACAAGACATCAATGGTCGAAAACTTTTTCAAGTGATCACCATGATTTGGTTCTATTCTTTCATTCATTCGCTCACTTTTTCTTTTACTTCTGAAGATGACTCTAGGTGGGAAGTTGGAAGGGTGGCTTGGAGGTGAGACCAGTTGTTTGGCTGGCAAAGGCCTTAATGCAGGACAATGAGAGGCTAAGCCAGGACAGCGTCCTTATTTTGTCGTGGGCCCCCTAATTAGATACAGCCTGTGGTCACAGTGGTGAGCCCAGCCACAGGCCGCTCTCTACATGGCTGTACCTAAGCTGCCTCTGTCAGCTCTTTACTCTTCTCAGCTCTCCTGCTTCCAGGTCCCCTTGGTCCTGCAGCCCTGCACTTCCACAGCCTCTCCTGCTCTGGTCTAGCCCGGTGCTCTCCCTTGGGTGAGATTCAGGGGTGACACCTGGCTCTAGGACCGCATTGGGGCTACAGAAGTCTTCAGAGAAGGGGGCAGTCTCGACAGAGTTGGGAGCTGAGGTCCACGAGAGGGTGAGCTCCACCTTGATTACCACGGATCCCAGCCCAGCCTGGGCAGGGCATGGGGCGGTTGAGGAATGACACCAGAGGAGCAGGTGTGAACCCCAGGGAGAGGGAAAGGGGCAGGGACCAGGACAGAAGCCTGGTGAACACCAGCAGGGGAGCATGGAGGGTAGATGAAGGAGGGTCTGGGACGCGGGAGAGGGGTGCGGCGCGGGGATGGTGGGCACACAGGAGAGGGCAGGGCTGGAGGTGCGGGGAGGCCTGCAGCACCCTCCTTGTGCCAGAGGAGAAGGAAGACAAGGTCCAGAGCTCTGGTGGGAAGGGGGGCACCTGGGGGAGAGACTCCGGGCTGTTCTGAGGGAAACCAGAGGGGAGGGGAGGAAGCCCGGGGCCACTGAGAGGCAGAGGCATGGGGCCCAGCAGGGAAGAAGACAGACAGAGGGAAAGCAGAGCGCGGGCTACGGGGTGAGGACGAGGTGCGTCAGGACTGAGGAAGGCATGTGGACCATGTGGCCTCCGCTAGAGTCTGGCACACAGGGACCCGGTTTTGGCCGTTTTCCAGATGGGAACAGCGGACTTGCCAAAGGCCACCTTGCTGGCCTGGCTGGCGAGTGGGTTCACGGTGGCCAGGTGCAGGAGGTGTGGGGACACGGAGTCCTGCTTGTTCAGACAGGCCCCTGCTGAGTGCCACTGGACAGTTCAGAAGGAGCTCATCAAGGGTCTCCTCAAAGCTCGCCCATGAGCCTTGCAGGAAACAGCATGGCAGGGACTTACATCTGGAGGCTGTAGGGGACCCCAGCAATCTCAAAGCGCTCGATTTCAAAGTCCACTCCGATGGTGGCCTTGTAGTCACAGTCAAAAACATTCTTGCAAAACCTGTGGGAGCAAGTGATCAGAGGCTGCACGGAAGCTTCGCTCATGACAGTGAAAGTCTGGAGGCAGCGAAGCCCGCCCATCGGGAATCACTGAGAGATGATGGTCCATGGAGACAGATCATGATGGACAGCCAACAAGAACCACGTGTGGGGAGAGAGGCCACAGCAAACACTGCAGGTCAGGGACAGAGGAAGGGAAACTGCACATCCTTCCTCAGGGAGGTCAGTGAGGTGTAAGCCCATGGCCCCAGGGGGACAGTGTGACCAATGCCAGGCTCCAGGGACGCCACACTGTCCGCTGACTCCACCATCACCCTGATTTCCTACAGCCCTTCCATGGGGCATCGTTCCCAGCTGCCAGTCTGTCTCGGCTATGACAATGTTATCTGGGCCTCCCAGGCAAAGTCCTGATGGCCTGGTGCTGGGAGGCGTGGCCAGCGTGCTTACCTGTGGATGAGGCTGGTCTTGCCCACGTAGAGGTCACCAACCACCACCACCTTGGAGAGGCTGAGCCTGTGAAGAATGTGGCCTCCTTGCTCTCAAGCATGGTCACAAGAGCATCTTCACACACAGAGGCTCTTCCTTCCCTGCACTTCCACCTGTGAGCCACCCCTCAACCCTGGACAGGGGATGGGACACGTGCTGAGACAGTCTGGGACGTCTGTGTCCACTCCGGCCATCAGAGAAGAGGGCAGGAGAGTCTGTGTTCATTCTGGGGACTGTGCTGTCCCTGGGGCTGTAGCCTGACAGTGCTGGGCCCAAGTCCTGACGTGAGAATTAGAACTGGGCACTGGAAGATGAGGACGCAGAGGGAAGAGCCCTCGGTGGGGCTGCGTCCAAGCTTGGGGGGTAGCCAGGAACCTGGCGCACACTGAGAGTGAGACACAGGGGCCCTGTGCAGGGACACGGCGTGCGGCTGGAGGCAGAGCACCTGCACCTCCCACCCACCCCTGGGGCTATACGCCTGGCGGGCTCCCCCTCACTCCTGGCAAGCAGTCACTCCCTGAGCGGGCACACCCCTCCCTGGAGGGTGTCTGCTGGGCCCAGCCAGGCCGAGGGGTGTGTCACAGACGGAACTCAGGTCTGCACGTGTGGACGGCGGCTTGAGGTCAATTGTCTCTGCGGTTCTCCGGCTCTCTCTCTGGGGACCATGTTCACTAAGAGTAGCTGCCACCTCACTCCGGGAGGGTCCCGCAGTCCGTGCAGCCAGCAATCCTGGGACTGGGGGTGATACTCTGAGTTTCCGCAGCTTGTGCCAAAGCTCAACTGGCAACATCTGACCAGGCATGTCCTGTGCCTGCAGGCAGCAAGAGGGCACCTCTGGGTCACCTGGTGACCTGGTGCAGCTCACGTGGCCATGTCTGCGAAGGTAGAGGTTGTGTCTACTCTGCTCCCAAGTGGCCTCTAGTTCTGGAACAGGGTGCCCCTTACTCTGCTTCTCAGATGAAGGAGTAAAGGTGCTGCTGAGGTGTTGTGGGGGTACCCTCTGTGCCTCACTTTCCCCACCTTCTAATGCTCTTGTGAAGGGTCAGGGAGATAATCTGCGTGAAGCACCTGGTATGGAACCAGCGCTCCTGAATGGGTGGCCTTTACTTTTACCCCATGACCACAGCTGGTTTGGCCACGCTGACCTAGCCTGGCCTCACTGCGAGCCACCTTGGGAACTTCAGAGCTAGGTCCCCCCTGCACCCTCCCCACACCTGTGTGATACCTGTGAGCTCAGCCAACTCCCTGAGCAGCCTGTGCTGGCTGTGCCAGGTGCTGCCGAGGGAGCAACAGGATAGGCACAGCTCCCACCCTCAAACTTGCAGTCCCATGCGGTAAATGTGTGGGGCACGGGGGCACACAGGAGGGGTGCCCCACCAGCCCGGCTGGGGACAGGGGTAGTGGGGGGCTCAGAGAAGGCCCCCAGAGAAGGCCCCCAGAGGACCTGACACTATACTGAGGTCCGAAGAGTAGGAAAAACATTACGGATAAGAGAAAAGGACAAACACTGAAAACGCAGGCTGAAAAATCATGTGCATGACTTCCTGAGAAATGGAGAAGCCGTTCTATACGGCAGGGGTGTGCCCAATGAAGCCAGATAAAACGCGCAGCATCCTCAGGCCTATGCTGGGTTGCACTGGTGCAGTCTGGGTAAGTGTTTCACTGGCGCATTCACGCGTTCACGCATGCATGCGCTCGTTCCTTCCCACCAGCCTCCCCATCCCATGTCGTGAGCTGGGGAGGTACTCACCCGACAGTGCCTGTGCTCCTGCGCTGGCAGGCAGCACTGACCTGCCCGTGGAAGTGGTCCTTGAGCTGCAGGCAGGCGTCAGGCGTGTACCACTGGAAAGAGTCAGACAGACAGACAGACAAATGGGCACATCACCCTGCGAAGCTGTGGCTCCATCACCAAGCAGGACAGTGAGGTGGTGACTTGCTTCCTAGCACTTTCCTTTAACCTTACAACTGGCAGCCTCATTAGCTTTCCATGGTCCCTCTATCATATCTACCTTCTATCTTGTCAGCAGCCTCAAGACTCCAGGATCTTGTGAGTCCCCAGGAGCAGCGGGAGGGGCAGAGCAAGGCCAAAGAGCTCAGGTGGAGGCAGGGAGAGCTGGGTATCAACTGGGGCGGCCGTGCCGTATCACAAGCACGTGGCAGGTCTCTATCCCCTCTGTTCCTCTTGGGGTCGGATGAGGGGTGGCCTGTAAGGGCTCCTTTTAGCTCCAAGATCCTCTCATAGCTTCTACAGATCCCTATGTTATTTTTGTTTTTTAAATATGCACATACATGCAAGGAAAATGTCCTGGAAGATATTTGCGGTCTCCCGCAGTTTTTGGAAGGCACAACTGGGCAGTGGTGTAAGAGCGTAACCTCCACGTCACGAAGACCTGCATCTACCCTTAGCTGCTGCATGACCCTAGGCAGTTGCCTAAGGTCTCCAGACTACAATTTCCCCACCTCAGAGGCTTGGAGGCATAAAATGAGATGATGTTTGTAAAGCACAGAGCCAGCCTGGCACATACTAAGCGCTCAAAAATTTTCATGGCTATTAAGATGCCATGGCACATGCTGAATATACATTTGTTTTAAAATCAGAAAAACAAACTTCAGATGGTCATTTTTTTTTGTTCTCAGATTGGCCAGGCTAAGCATAGAGTGAGGCAAGGACAAGGAGAAAATGGCATCCCTGGAGACGGCCGGTGTGCTCTGCTGTGTTTTGGCAGCGGTGGCCCAGGCCACTGCCCTGTCCCTCAGGGCACTGCTTGGATCCACAAGTCCCCTGTGGCAAGGGCTCGGCCACATCCCCTGGCCTTGCCATTTCTCCTGAACTCTCAGGCATTGAAATGGGCTCTGCTGTGGCCCATGTGCCCTCTCAGCTCCAGGTATGACTGAGGCAGCAGGGACAGTGGAAGGAACTTTGCAAAAGGGCAAGTTATGAAACCTCACTGAGCCTGTTTCTTCACCTGCAAAGCAGGGACGCTCCTAACAGCACCTCTCCGTCTGGCTATTGAAGGAGTAAATGGGTAATGCAGGGGGACAGCTCAGCCCAGCGGCCACATTCATGCAGAAGAGTGTCAGCCACCTCAGGGGAAAGATGGCTGTTTTTCCCTGTCAATTTGCCTATCAGCTTCAAATCAGGGCCCCACCTGGGTACGCTGGCCCCTGAAGGAATCCCGTGATTTTGGACGGATTGGGGAAGTGTAATAAGGAAGGCTGGGCAGGAAGTGTGAGCCAGTTTTAGAGACAGGAAAACTGAGGCACACAGAGTAAAGCAAAGGCCTTGCCCCACCTGACCACAAGCTTCTCAGGTCTGAAGTGGTGTGGTCCTGGGGGGCAGGACGAACTTGTGATCTGACTGCCACGGGCAGTGGGGGGCAATCTCACCTTCTGTGGAAATGGGTCGGATGCCTCCCAGGGTGGGGGAAGGTCAGAGCTCTAGAGGCAGCCTCAGCCAGGTCAAGTCCTGGCTCCTCCATGCCCAGCTGTGTGATGTTAGTCAGCCCTTCCGACTTCTCTGAGCCTCTGTAATGGCCTGCTCCGTAAATGGGGTCCTTTGTCCCATGAGAGCTAGACCGTTTGGTGCAATTACACTTCCCTCCCTTTTGGCACATTAAATGCCAGTCCCCATGATCCCTGGGTACTACTCACAGGCTCCATAGGGAAGTAATTGCCTGAGCCTCTGAGGAGATGGAAAATCCTGGGGGATTTGTCCATGGGTCTGAGACATTAAGGCTTTTTTTGTGGGGGAAAGGAGAAAAGGGGAAGAAGGAATGGCTGCAGGCTCTAAATACCGGGGGCCTGCAGTCACCTCCTTCTTCCCTACCAGCACGGGCACAGAATTCACGAGATAAGAAGGCCACTCCATGGAGATTTCTCCCTTCCCACCGTCCCAAGTCAAATGGAGGCAGCTGCTGATAGCCGGATCCTACGTATCACTCCAAAGAAATTTTCTGCGTGTATGAACAAACACATGCATTTCTTTGCTCCCATCTTTGTTTGTCACACATGAGTGTGCCACACACACTGCTCCATTCCTTGCATGTTTCCTTTGGTCCTCCCTGCACACTAGTACCTGCAGAGCTGCCTCATTCCTCCTCAGTGGGGCCAGAGGTAGCATTTTGTTGACAAAGCAGCTCTCTCTCCAAGGACGTTTACCCTGTGTCTGACCTTTAGCTTTGCAAACTGTTGCAATGCCTGGCCTTCAATGGCTGGATCAGAGGGAGGGGGCATTGCAATGGTGGGAAATATTGTCCCACTCCCCTTCTAGAGGTTGTACTAATTTGCATTCCTGCTTACAGTAAGGCTGGATTTTAATATAAATGGAAGAGAGCTCAGTTTTCAGCAGGAACTGAAGGCAAATTGGTAAGAGGGGAGAACCCTAGATTTGGCGTCAGGAAACTCATGTGCTGTTTTGAGAATCATCATCACCATCATCACCATAATAACAATGAGAACAAGAGGGACCACCATTCAGACAAGGGAGCTCCCGTTTACTATGAGCCAGGCACCAACGTGAGAGGAACTCTCCTGTACAACAGTAGCTCTGAGAGGCTGAGTAACTTGCCCACAGTAACTCAGCTTAACGACTGATTCAGGATTCGCACATGAGACTGTCTGATGGCAAAGTCCGTGCCCTTAAACCTCCATGAAACGTTGTCTTCTGGTCTCACCCTTAACATGCTGCCCCACTTTGGCCAAGTCTACCCTATGTCTCCCGCTTCTCAAGAAGTCTGGTAAGTTCGTGGAGTCTGTCAGCAAGGGAATGACCTTCCTGATTCACCTGATGTCTTTCTGGTGGTGAGTGCAGGTGGGGAAACCTGGATGCGCCCGGGGTGTCGGGAGGGCAGTGCACAAAGGTCTGGCCTAGTGACTCTCTACCTTAGGGAAGCTGGCGATGATGCGGTCCCGGCTCACAGGGGGCCCCAAAGGCAGCAGGCAGGACCTCATTCTTCCAGAGAGTTCTGTAGACCCAACCAGGGGAAAGAGAGTTAGGGAGCTGTGCCAAACCCTGGGCACTCACGCGCGTTGTGAGTTTATGCCTAACTTTTCAGTACCTTTGACCCATGCCTCCTCTCCTCTGTCAGAACTATTGGCCAGAGGTCACCTGTTAAAATCTGCTGGCAGACGGTGCGGGTGGGGTGAGGGGGCAGTCCTGCCCCACCCTGCCTGGGGGTCCAGAATACCTGCATCTCCCTCCTCCTGCCGCCCCTCTCCGAGCATATGACTGGTTGCCAGTGGGGCGCTATGCAGGCCAGGTGCAGGAAGTGGAATGGGGGTGGGGGGATCCCTGTTTTTAGTTTCTATGGGATGGAGGCTCTGGGTGGGCCCAGAGCCTTAGGTTCTTGCCCTCAGGCTTGTCACCCTACCCAGGACCGGGCCCCTGACGCCTATTCAACAGTCCTACCTCTCCTTCTGTCTGCACCCTTTCCCCTCTAGGGTGGCCTTGACCGAGGCCTCGCTCTGACCTAGCTCTCCTCCAGGACCAGCTGCTTGGGCCTGGCCCAGGGTGTGGTTCAGGAAATGCTGAGGCCCTGGGGTCTCAGGCCGCGTTCTGGTTGTGGGAGGGCGAGGGAGCGGCGTCCTCCCGACCCCGGCCTCCGAGACGCGCCCTCGCGGAGGTGGGATGAGGGTGGGACAGAGTAGGACCGCGGACTCACCGCAGCGGCTACGGAGTCTCGGGGTTCTGCGCCGCCAGGTCTGGTTGGTTTCGCTGCAGCAATCACCATGGCAACGAGGGCCACGCGGGACTGGAGGGCACCTGACGAATCCTGGAAGTCGGGGGCCGGGTCTGGGCGGGGCTCTTAGCGGAAAGAGTCCCTTGGCGGCCTGCAGGAGCCATCACCATGGCAACCAGAGCCTGGAGGGAGCCACGGGAAAGGCTGCTGCCTAGTCCCAGTCCAATCTCCGGCGATCACCATGGTAACAGGGGCGGGGCCGGATATGGGTTGTGGGTGGAGTCAGGGCAGATTTCGGCTGTGGCTGGAGTGGAGCCCGGGATCCAGAGGCGTGGTCTGGGCGGGGCTTACAGCGGAGAGGCAGGGGCACCGGACCTCCTTGACAATCTACAGGGCTAGGAGGGGTGGGGGCTCAAATTGGTAGGGATTATGATATGAAGCGCTTAAGTATTTATGTATTAAATATGATTCTTTTCTGGTTATCTAAATATTTCATAGTTTTTGTTATATATTGGTAAGGAGGGATCTTCAAGATCCCTTGACTCCTTTCTTTCTTATCCTATCTCTCATACATCAGTAAATTCTACAGGCTCTACCCTGAAAATTTGTCCAGTATTCTCTGTCTTCCTCCCTCTTTCATTGGCATCGCCCTGGCCCAAGCCATCATCTTCTGTTCCCTTAACTGGTTTTCATGCTTCCACTCTTGCCCTTATTCTTTCCCTGTTCAGTAGGATATCCCGTTAAAACACGGATCAGGTCATGTCGATCCTTGGCTTCAAACCCTTTACTGTCTCCTCATGGCTCTCAGATTAATGAAGACTTTTTTTAAAAAAAATTTATTTATTTTTAGAGAGAGAGGAAGGGAGAAAGGGAGGGAGAGAAACATCAGTGTGTGGTTGCTTCTCACGCGCCTCCTGCTGGAGACGTGGCCTGCAACCCAGGCATGTGCCTTGACTGGGAATCAAACGGGCGACCCTTTGGTTCTCTGGCCGGCGTTCAATCCCCTGGGCCACACCAGTCAGGGCTAATGAAGTCTTTATAATGGCTTAAGTAGCCATATGTGATTTGCCTTGGCCCCATGTCCTTTTTTACTTCATCTCCTAATGCTTACCATGCTCCTCCATCCCATCCCCCACTTGCTCCAATGGCATCGTTTCTGCTGTTCCTCTAACAGGCCAAGCACACGGGTGTTTGCATTGGCTGTTCCCTGGGTCTGGAATGCTCTTTCCCCAGATATTCACATTGCTCCCTTTCCTCAGCTTCTTCAAGTCTGCTCAACTGTCACCTCTAGATGAGGCTTTCCCTAAACAGCCTGTTTAGAATTGCAGGATTCTCCAACACCTTATTCTGCTCTGTCTCTCCAGGCACTTACTGTTTTCTAACATACTTATTGTTTATGTTGACTGTGTATCTCCCTCCACCGACAGCAATGACAACAGGGTTTTCGTGTTTAGCTCACTGATGTATCCCATCGGCCGAACAGTGCCTGCACATGGTAGACACTTAGTGAATGTTAAGTGACTGAACAAATATTAAATTAAAAAAAGAAGGCGGAGAACAGTGTTTGAAGTATGCTGCCACAACATTAAAAATAAATAAATTATATTTATTTGTATAAGTTTAGCTTACCTCTGGGAACACATCAGTGGTTGCCACAGGTGTGGGCAACTTGTTGACTGGGGACTGAGGGAGATCTTTTTCTTGTATACTTTTTGGATTTTTCTCCACGTGTATACATTACCATTGAATAAATAACTCAAATGAAAATAAATAATTTGGGACACAGAATACAATAATGTCCCCCATCTCTGGCCCTTCCAGGTCCGCTCCAATGTGCTCTGATGTGCTTCCTCCTTCGACTTTTTCCTGTGGAAACTTCCTCCTTTCTGTAATTGTGGCATAAGAACTCTTGCTGTAATATTGGTATTTGTTTGGAGTCAAGCACCCTGCAGTGGCAATTGATGGACGTACCTACCACTTAGGGACCTTAATCTGTATTGTTCTGAATCTAATAGTGCCTGAATACCATATGCCTGGCTTCTCGAGCTCCTGGAACAAAACTAATCCCTGTAATTAATGGCTGTTTAAAAGCTGACCAAGCCACTGAGCTCCTGTGAGCCAGTTTCTGTTTAGAGAGTGAGGCATGTGGGGCTAGACGGCCTCCAGAGGCGCTGGTAAAGACTGTGTAATCACAAAAACGAGACAGTAGTTAGCTCTGGAGAGGAGGATGGGATATGGGAAAGGGTAAGAGAACACAGGCATTGATAATGTTCTGGGGGTAAACAGGTGGTTATTACATTTTTCTCTTCCACAAATTAACATATGCTACACAGAATGTTATATGTATATTTAAAAAGATAAAAAGGAGATTGAAAAATGATAAAATTGAAGGGCCATTAAAAACAAAACAAAACTGTATACCCAGATTCTGAGAGGCCCAGTGTTCCCAGCGTTGAGAATCTATTTCATTCAGCTTCCCATTTCACAGACAAGGAAACTAAGGCCCACATAATCGGAAAGACTTGCCTACTGAGTTAGAACTGGAATCAGAACCCAGATTTCCTGTCTTTCAGCCCAGGGCTTTCCACACCACCTTCCTAAAAAAGCTGGGATGCTCAGGCTTAAAGAGACCCTTCATGACCTTGTCCTTTGAAGGACAGCAGTGGGGACAGATCTCTGCATCACAGCATGGGACCTTTGGCACACAGATCCAAGTCAGTTATCTTCATTTCAAAGATAAATGTGCTGGAGGCTGATGCCTGGTGCTTTTTTTTTTTTTTTTTTTTAGTGAATTTCACCACTACATGCCCAGTCCCAGGGCTCCACGCCATCCTATGACTCAGTTTACTCAGCAATAAAATGGACTATCTACTTTGTTGTGAGGATCACGCAAGATGGTGAAAGGGCTCTGTAGATCGGTATAAAGCTTGATTCAAGTCCATTACCCATTCATTTATTTACACTTACTCAAAGCCCCCTGGTGTATTGCTGGCATTGGAGAGGCAAGGAAACAGGACTGACATAGCTGCCACCCTCAGGGAAATTGGAGTCCGCTGGGGGACACTGGACAGTAAATAGAAAATTAGGGAAGGGAAGTGTGTCATGAGGCAATTAGACTATGGGATCACTTACTGACTTGGAGTTGGGGAAGAGATAGGCATCATGGAGGTAGGATCCACCAAGTCGTATCCCGAAGGGCAAAGAGGTGGTTAATGTTACAAGCAGTCCAGACTGCAGGGAAGAGCTGGCCATTTGGGGGATTAAGAGAGAGCTGGGCATGGCTGGAGGAGGCCATCACCCAGGGTCTTGAGTGGCAGGTTAGAAGTTTGGACTCTGTCCTGGGACCACTGGGAGCCATGGAGGATTTTATACAGGTGAATACTGGGTCTGGCTTGCTTTCAAGCGCAATTGCTCCAGTCAGCTGTGTCTTGGGTCCACTGCAGGGGCCGATCTGTGTCATTATCAGGCAATGAGCCTGCAGAGTAAAGAGGATGGGCCAGGGCTAGGCAGCCCAGGGATCTGGCCTGTGTGATTTTGGCAAGCTACTAAAAAACCCCTGAGGTTCCTATTTGTAAAATGGATAATGCTATCCCCTCCCCGGGTTACTCTGAGGATTAAAGGCATGGAAAGTGTTCAGCACAGAGAAAGGAGTACTCATTCACTTCCTTACCTTTCCGTGCAATGAACAAAGCTAAACCGCCTTTGTTCCTCACAGTAAACCTATATCTTTGTCCCCTCTTCACAGCCGGTCCCAGCCCGGGGCTGTTCGCGCCTGCGCGGTGGGCACCAAGTGTTCCGCGCGAGGCTGGACGCCACCGGAGTCTCCAGGCAACCAGGTCGCCTGGCAACGGGCGGGCACTACGGGGACCCGGCACGCTCAAGCAGGTGAGTGGGCGGTGACCCGACCATGTCCCAAGACCGGGGGCCCGCAGACCCATCCAGTCTGGCTCACACGGGTCCTGTGTCCTCACACCCCAAAGCTCTCATCCGCGGCCAGACTCCTGCTGCCCATGCCCCTTGGAGAAGGGCAGGCCCCTGCCCGGGGCCCACCGTTCTCTGCAAAGGGAGCCCAAATCGGAAATGGCCGCGTTCCTCCCAGCGCCGCCGGCTTTCCGCCTCCCCTTGTCACTGGAGCCCAGGATCGAAGTTCGGCTCACTTCTTTAACGGAAGTAGAATCCTACAGGGCTGGGACCTGTCACTGCCACTAAAACTTGGCAGCAACAACGGCCACCATAACAGTAACCACAGCCAGCGTATCTGGAACCCTGATGTTCCGGGCTCTGGGACGGAGGAAAGGAGGTGCTGTTAATCAAGTCCCTTTCGCAGCTGCAAAAAGACACAGAGGAAGAAATCGTCATAGGCCACCCATGGCCTGGGTGTGGAGCCCTTTCTTAATACTAAACCACACTGCGCATAGTTGCTCAAAGTGTGTGTAATAAAAATAATTCACCTTTTAACCTTAATTCCTTCTAAATTCCCCTTTTGTGGGTGTATCAGAAGCATCTGAATATGAGTCCCTGATGGGTTAATGAGCCGGACCCTGATTTGAACGGTGGCTTCCTGATTTGAATGTTGGAACGTAGTTCTGTTCCTTCCAGCAAGTTACTTGCCCCTAAAACTCAACTTCCACCTTTGTAAAATGAGGGTGATACAAGTCCCCTTCTTCTGGGGGTAGTTGACTTAGATGCCAGGCATTTCTGGCACAAGATAAGCACTAAACTAGTGGCCGTATTATAAAGTGGGGGTGGTATCTTCTGTTGTTAAGCGTGGGAGAACTCTGGAGTGTGCAATTCGCGCTGCTACTCACCTTCACTGTGACCTTGAGCAGACCCCTTCATTGCTCTCAGCCTCAGTTTGCTCATCTGTAAAATGGTTGTAAAAATAACCACCCAGCTGTGCTTACAGTTTTGACAGTGAGCTTCTAAATCACAGTAGTAATAACGACAACTTTTTGGGTTCTTTTAATCAGTGGTTTCGGCAGAGCTCCATTTTGAAACCTAGAGTCACCGTCTGCAGGTGTGGAAAGATGGCCCACCCCCGGATCTCTATGTATCAGCCCCCCAACATCAACCCCACCCAGGCCGCCATCGCCTTTGGCTGCCGGGCCCTGCCTAAGCTGAACGAGGAGCTGCAGTCGGAGGACCTGCTGACGAGGCAGAAAGCCCTCATGGCTCTGTGTGACCTCATGCACGACCCCGAGCATGTCTATGTGGCCATCGACACAGGTGAGAGTGTCACAGAGCCCAGGTGACCATGACTAGAATCTGGATGGACAGAAACAGAATAGCTTGAGGCAGCAGGAGCTGAGGTGACCTGGCCTCTTCACAGCATCCCTCCCAGATGGACACCCCGAGCAGCCGACCCAAAGCCGCACACTAGCCCTCTCTGCCATGACTCGACCAGGTGGCCACAAATCCACCAAATAGCCCCGTTTGTCTGTCTCAGCCACAGGCTGTCACAAAAGACAGGCACGTGCTCTATTGAAACCACATGGTACCTGGACCTCTGTCCCTTGTTTCCCATTCTCCTATCACCAAAAAAAAAGTCGAGGTGATTTTAGCGGCATGGTCACACCTTTCCTAGATCAGGCACATTGATGATTGAACTGCCCCTTCCTCCTCCAGGCTTAGCTGAAGGGCTGATTTAACATCAGAGGTGGTGGTGGTCCTAGCATGGCCTGGAACACCTGGTGGGGCTTCAGTAATAATGGCCAGCAGCTTCAGAATAACGGTCTGGCTTTCGTAAGCCAGACGCTGGGCCAGCAGCCCCCCACACGCAGTGCTCATGTTATCGTAGCCCTCGCAGCGCATGCCCTGAGAGGGCAGGCGCATTCCCAACCAACAGGGAAGAAAACCGAGGTGCAGAGAAGGGGCGTGGGGTTAGAGTGGCCTGATAAATAAATAAAGCGGGATTTTTATTTGCTCAGTCTGGTATCCCTAGGTGAAACCCATTCAAAGTACATAACTAGTTGGCGACAGAGTTGGAATTGGATCCAAGTCTCTCCAAATGCAAAGCCCATTTTCTTAACCCCGTGGAGGACTGCGCGAGAAGAAGGTGCTGGTAGGAAGTGTGCAGGGAGGCCCAGGGGGGTGTTAGAGGACATGGTCCCTGGCATGAGCACACAGAGACCCTGCAGCAACCCTGAGATGCCGCCTGATCCCCCCACGCCCCAAGGCAGCTGACCCTCCGGTCATCGCAGGTGCCTGATGTCGGCTTACCTGTTGACTTCTGGGTTGGTTGAATTTTGAGACTGATAAATGTTCAAAGGTGTTTCTCCTCGCAGGCTGCCTGGAAAGCCTGAAAGCTCTGCTGAAGGATACCAGCCCCATGGTGCGGATCAAGGCCACTGAGGTGCTGTCTATCATGGCGACTCATAATGTGGGCAGGTGGGCTGCTGTTTATGGAAACCAATGTCAAGTTTGGGAGCTATATCCCACCCCTGGGGGGCATGCCCTTGAATGACCTTGAGTACTCTGAATTTTTGTCTGTAGCCCAGTTCTTTGGTGGGAATTCTCTTTGGCCAGAACAGGCTTCGGTGGGATGGTTTTGGATGCCTCTGTGAATGCCTAACCAGACCCATTTTTATGTTAGTTTCCTGGTCTGAACTTTTCCCTTTGAAGGTGGAAAGGAAGTTCAGGCCCCACACTTGTAACAATTTAGCCTTTTCTTTTTTAAATTAAATTTTTTTGTTGTTGTTGTTGATTTTAGAGCAAGAGAGAGGAAGAAGAGGGAGCGGGGCAGTGGGGGAAATTTGTTGTTCCACTTACGTGCGCATTCACTGGTTGATTCTTGCATGTGCCCTGACCAGGTGATCGAATCCACAACCTTGGTGTACTGGGACGATGCTCTAACCAGTTCAGCTACCAGTCCAGGGCCCAACCTTTCCTTGGCTCTTTATGGGGAGCCAAACTCCCCTCTCCCAAACTCTGACAGGGCCTATGGCTCTGGCTCCTGTCCCCATGCGGCTGTTAAGACACCAGCCTCAAAGTGCACTCCTGGTCGGGGCTGGTGGCTTCAACCCCCACTAATGACGCTGAGGTTCGTCTAGATTTCTGGCACCTGGAACTGTCCCTTTCCTGTGTAAGCACAGCTGCAAATTTTACACTTAAAAAATGGTTAACCTAGCATTTTGGTTAGGAGTCAGTTTGTGTCGGGGGCCATTGGAGGTGCTTTCCCACAGCAGCTCCATTTATCCTCTTGACCTGGAATCACTAGTTTCGTTTTGTATTAAAAACAGATCCAAAAATCACAAAGAGCCCCCAAGCCTGGCCAAGGACTGCTGCCTGGTGTGCACATGGGAAGGAAGAAAAGTGAGGATAATGGTGATGACCGAAGACACAACAGGGACAGGGGGGTTACTATCCTGGGCATGTTTGTTGTAAACAATAGATGCCCCTTCAAAGAAGCTTCAGATCCTCTCGGGGGTGGCAGGGCATCTCACAAAACCGAAGGTCGTTCAATCCTGTCTCTCCCCAATTGTTCAGTGCTTCAGCAGCCTCGTCTGCACCTGCCCGTGGGCCAGGGAGTTAAATGAGTTAATACCCCTGAAGTGCTCAGCCTGGGACACCTCGGATATGTCCCCCCCACCCAACGTTGATCTGGGTGGCCGCTCCTTTTTCTGGGGACTGCAGCCTCCCTCTCCCACAGTCTGTGAATTCACATGCCCACTTGCTCAGGGCCGGCCACCCTGGTCCCTCAGTCCCGGGGAGCTCCCAGTTCCCCGGCCCCTCTCTGGGACCTAATTTCAGGTCTCGTGTGCAATCTCTAGGAACAGGGGACATGTGGGGAGGTGGGGCCGCAGTGACTCTAAAGAGAGTCTTTTAAAAAAAAGTTTAATGATTGTAAAAGATTCTGGTGGGTGCCCTGGCCAGTGTGGTTCACTTGGTTGGAGTGTTGTCCCATAACTGAAAGGTTGCTGGTTCGATTCTGGTCAGGGCACATACTAGGCTGCGGGTTCAATGCCCAGTATGGGCTGAGGAATGTATGACCTCCTGGGACATCCGCGGTTCCCAGTCTTGGCACTGGTTCCCTGTCTCGGTGTGTCCGGGAGGCAACCAATCGATGTATCTCTCTTGCATAGATGTTTTTCTCTCTCCCATCCTCCCTCTCTAAAAGCAATGAAAAAAAAAAATGTCCTCAGATGACGGTAAAAAATAAAATAAAATAAGATTCTGGCAGGTTTTAGCATGCAGATTCCTTCATTAATGCCTTTGAATTCTTGTTCTGTGTCAGAGAAACCAAAACTGCAAATTCACAGGCACCAAGAAGGGGACAGAGCAGTGGATGGAGGCGGGAGCCCTGGCCTGGGGGGCAGGCCCCTCCCTTCCCTGCTGTGTCCTGGCAAGACTCTGGGGGAGTGTCACTGTGCTCATCTGTGGCCGACCCAGTGCCGCTGCTTGAGTACCTTAGGGGCACAGAGGAGCGAAGCGTCCTTCATCCTCCCTGCTCCTCTTTTCTCTTTCTGGACGTTAGGTAGTTACCCCCAGTGAGAGGTGGTGGACGGTGGGAGGGAGAGATGGTTGCACTTGGGCAAGTGTAAGGAAACGGTCAGCCCAGTGAAGGTGACGGTAGGTTTGTTTCCTGGCACTAGGAAGTCTGAGCCGGAGAAGGAGGTTTCCCAGCTGTGGCCACGTCACCAGGGTGGGGGTAGGTGAGGAAACATCACTGATTGGATGCATCCCGGCTGCATGTGTTCTTCAGTGTGCCCCACCGTCCCTCACACTGACCTGAGTGAGGCAGCTTGTGCAGTCAGCGTCCAGGAGTCTGAAACCCTGGCTCAGTCGGCCACACTGCGTCGGACAAGGGATGCAAAGGACCAAAGCTAAGTGGGAGCAACTTCTGAAGCTCTCCCGGGGTTCAGTGGTCACCTTATAACTGAAGCCAGAAGCTCTCAGAGCCTGTCAAGTGCCAAGTAACTGCCGTGTTCAAACCCTCTGCTCTTTTGTACCCACGCAAGTAGTGACAGCGGGGGGTCAGGGTAGGAGCCTGGGGCCTGGCGTCTTGTGTGATGGCCCCCACACAGTAGAGCCTCCCGGCTGGCCTGGCTCCCCCTGCCTGCCTCTTGCTTGCCTGCTGGTGGCTGGGGTAGATGCCCTAACGACACACACAGCAGGTTCACAAAGCAGGAGTGACGGGGGGTGGACGACTGGGTGCCGACTGAGGAGGCTCCGACACCTCATGCCGGGTAGTCAGGGAAGGCCCTGGCGATGTGGGTGTCCCACTGCTATTTTCTTCTCCGGGAGACTCAGAACTCCGCCTATGGTTGAGTCCCGGCCAGCGCGGCAGAAGCACAGTTTGGTTGGGCATTTCCTGCGTGCCGGGCACTGGGCACGGGCCTCACACTGGGTTCTCACTTACCTCTGACCCCGGCCCTGAGACCTCAGAAGTCCTCTCGACGGATGAGATGGGGTAGCAGTGAGTTGGGTAATCAAAAGAAATGGTTAAAAACCCAGGAACTGGAGAAATTGTACAGCCCCTTTACACAGTTCATTTTAACCCAAAACACAAATGATTAGGCATTCATCAGTCGAGGTGTGCACCCAGGCCTTCTCCTGGCTAAGGGCCCACCGATTGATGTTTCCCATCATCTTTTGGGCTTAAACCACACCTGTAACTTCATCTAATTTGCAGCTTTGTTTTCTTTAAAGCAGAGCAAGAACTCAGACATTAATGAAGTAATCTGTATGCAAAAACCTTGCAGAGTCTTTTACAATCATCTCACATTTTTTTTTAGAGACTCACTTTTGAGTCTTCTCATAAGGAAATTAAAAAATCTCTCCTTTAATTGGCTTACCTAATATTTAATTAACTTACATAATTATAACAACAAGGATGGCAGGCGTACAGAGGTTTGGAGGCAACCCCACGTCCCTGGGAGAAGAGGGCGGGACAGTGCCTGGCTCGCTGCCCTGGAACATCAGTGCTGGGCGGCGGAGACAGGCTGCCACTCAGCTGGCAGTTCAGAGCGTGCAGCCTCCTCCCCGTTTTACAGGCAGTAAGACTGAGGCTCAGAGGAGTAAAAGGATGGACCCAGGGCACAAAGAACCTGAGCTGGAGCCCGAGCTAGGAAGGGGCAGAGCTGTGGCTCTTTCTACCACCACCCAAGCCACACTGTTCTCACGCCTGGAGGGTGTCCCTCATATGTCTTCCACTGCTGGCCTTTGTCTTCTCTCAGGAAGTCAGAAGGGTGTGGTCTGCAGCGGCCCCAGGGGTTCAGACTCCAGGTTGGGGTGAGGGCTGGCAACTGACTCTTGGTTCTACCTTGTCCTCCCCAACTTGGCCTTAGTCGTGTCTAAATCCGACTTCTTTTCCCCAGAGAAGGCTTTTTGGAGCATGACATCATCACCGCCCTGTCCTTCTTGCTAAACGACACCGAGGACGCCTGCCGGGAGAACTTGCACTTGGCGTTCAAGCGCCTGGCCCAGCTGCCTTCAGGTAGGCTCACAGTGGGCGCCCGGCTGCCCCTCCGTCTCCTCTCCAACTCGGGCACGCGCCGTGCTGCAGGTCACAGGCTAGAGCGCATTTTTAACAAAGTTATGCTTTAATTAAGGGACAACATACATATTAAAAAGGCACCCATCATGCATGAACATTTGATTAAATTGTACTCTGCAAACATGCACAGAACCACTGCCCAGATCAAAACATATCCGGAGTATGCCCAGCTCTCCAGAAACTCCCTACATGCCGCCTACTAGTTATTTCCTCCACCAAAGGCAAACAGGATCTTTGATTTATAAGACCATAGATTAGTTTATGCCTCTTTTAAAACTCTATGTAAATGGAAACATACAGCTAGTACTATTGTGTTTCTAACTTCTTTTGCTCAACATTTTGTCTCTGAGATCCACGTATGTTACCTATTATCCATTATTGCTGATTTGCACTGGAGTGTGGTATTCACATTGTAGTACAGTTTACTTACCTGCTAGATAATATAGTTTATTATCCACTGTTGCCAATGGACATTTGAATTGTTTCTAGTGTATGGCTGCTAAGAATAGAGCAGCTATAAACAAATGCCTTTCGGGGGACATTGTATACATTTCTTTTGAGATGTACCTAGGAGAGGAATTGCTGGGCATAAGATAAGTTTATGTCCAGTTTTAGAAGATACTACAAATGGTTTTTGAAAATAGTTACACCAGTTTACAGTTTCGCCAGTAGTGGGCGGGAGTTCCAGGCGTCTATAGTCTCACCCACACTCAATTTTTCCTGTCTTTTTGTATTAGCTATTTTGGTGAGTGTGTGGTAATGTTTCACTGTGGTTTTAATTTGTATTTCCCTGGTGATTATAACCCTGTAAATGTCTTCTTCTGTAAAGTGCCATAGCATGCTTTTAAGGGTTAAAAATGCCTGCCCCCCAAGGCCACTCTGCCTCCTGGCTCGATGTCCACCTCCCTCCCCGATTAGATAGAATCCAGGATAACGGCCATTTGTGTCAGAGTGACACTCACCGCACAGGATGCAATGAGCACTTTAAATGAGGAGCCCATTCAGAGAGGCCTGCTGTCAGGCCTGGCAATGCCCTAAGGCAGGAGTCCCACAGACCTGGGCTCCCTCCGCCCTCCGCCCTCCGCCCTGCCCCTCATTCTCTGAGTGCCCCCGGACAGACTGTTCTGAGCCTGATAATACCCGCTTCCAGGCCTGAGGCAAGGGTCACGTGAGAAGATGCTCCCCCACCCCGCAGCACAGCACAGCACCCCCCACAAGGTGGAAGCGCCCGAAACATTCAGGGCTGGGTGCGAGCACTCCCTGAATTAAGGTCCCAGAAAGAAATGGCGATGGGACCAGTGAGGCAAGCCTAACGGAGCAGAGCCCTGGGGAGAGGGTGCAGGGTGTGGGGGAGGCACTGGGCTGGACGGACAGCAGAACCCCTGGTGGTCTTTTTAAAAGACCACCCTTATCCTTGCTGGAAGAATCATCTCTGGGGCTCTGGGGATGAAGGTCTGCACACACTTTTCCTACAGGGCCCTTGGCTGATCCTCTGTGAGGCCACGGGGATGTTGGGGTCTCCAGGAAGCGCCAGTGCTGGGGGCTGAGCCCTGTGCTCACTGTGCAGGAAGCTCAAAAGCACCGAGGGAAGTAGAGAGACAGTGACAATGGGCATGAGGTGCCATCACTCAGCTTTGCTCAGTCTTAACATTCTACCCTATTTCAAATGTGCTTGGGATTCTTCTCTTAAAAAAGATACAGTCCAAGCCCCCTGTGAACCTGCTCCGCTCAGCACCCTTTCTCCTTTCTCCTGGAGCCACCAATAATTTGGGGACAATATCCCCAACGCATGTCTTTATATTTTGCCACAGATTTAATTAGCTCTAGATCTTTCCCTGCATGTTTTCAAACTCTAAACGGATCTTGCTGTCTGTATCTCTTTGCTACTTAAAAACATGTAATGTTATAATTTTGAGTTTACACATATCATGTCATGGGCTCTGCCTCGGCATGGTAACCATGGCGTGCCCTGCTGGTGTTTGGATGTGTATTTACATGTGATACGCCCTGCCTGGCTGACAGGCAGGCCAGCTGTTTCTGCTCCTGGGCATCGAGGAGCTCAGCTGGAGGAGGGTGTCATGGGGTGCGCAAGACGCAGGCCTTCAGCTTGGCCCGATACTGCACGTGCTTCCCAACCAACCCTGCCGCACCCTAACCAGCGACCTAATGGTGGGCCGTGCTGCGTCACTGTTGTGTGGCTTTGTTGTCTCCTGTGACCAGGGGAGGGGGACCTCTTTCCTCTGCCTGGCGCCGCCTCGGCCTCCTCCCATGCCTCCTGGGAGGCTGAGCCCATTTGTTTTTTCCATTTCTTATTGATCCGAGGGAGTGTTTCATTTTTCCTGGGTTCCAATGCTCTGCAGATTACACACATTGGAAATCCTATTTCCCAGGCTGATCATGTGGCTTTTCACTGTTTATTTGTTTACCTATTAGTCCAGCAGTTTTTCATTTGAATATAATCAGTTTCATCAGTCTTTTTGTCTTTTATTGGGGGGGGTGCTATTTAAGAGAATTTAGTGCTGTTTAATAGCTCAAGAAGATATTCTGCCATATTTTCTTCTAAAAGTGTAAGAGTTTTGCTTTCCACACTTGGCTTGCGACAGACCCTGGGATGGATTTTTATTTGTTGCAAGGTCTTCTTGTTTGGCCCTTGCCAGGCCAACACTGTCTTAACTACAGAAGCTCTATGGTAACCTGGGTTCTGGTGGACAGGTCGCACCCCCTGCCTCTCCTCCCTGCAAAACTCTCTGGAATCGACCCGCTGTGGGCGTGTCGTGAAGAGCGGGGAGGGGCGGCTGTGGTTCTGACAAGCCTCATCGAAGGCCTGGGTGCTAAGCTCCGCCTTTATTACAGGATTTCCTGGGTGCTACACATTGTCTGTGATGTGTCCAGAAGGAAGGCCTGGGACTCTCTAGCTGAAGGGACAGAGGGAGACATGCAGTGCGGCGGGCGCCCCACGAGGTCCAGCGGGTGGGGGGCTCTGAGTGCTATAGCTTCTGGGTAGGCCATTGCCCTTGGGAGTGGGTATCTGGGTGGGCTGAGGGCACCTGTTTCAATGGCGCCACTCTTATCAGCGGTGACTTTGGCGTTAGCAAAGCCCGTTGGAGCCTGAGTTTCATCACTGATTGTGGGTAACCACAGGTAGCCTTGGTGCCTGTGTGGTTCAGCCAGGACGGTCCACACTCGGGGTTCAGCGAGCCCTCATACTGGTGCTCATTAGTACGGGTTCTCTATCCATGGCCACACTGGAAGGCACCTTCTGCCCTGGTGAAGTGCTTGGCGTGTGGCTGGCACTCAACGGCCATTGGTTGTTTGGCGGGTTTTACACCATTTTACACCATTATTTGTAAAGACCATTTGTTAGTTGTTTTCTTGCTGCCATGCACTCACTCACCTCTTCGTTTGTTTGACAACTGTGTGGGGTATCTGGTGGGGGAGTGGAGGTTTTCCTCTGAGTCCTGGCGCTGGGCGGAGTCTGGCTTACTGTGTGGTTTCCCAAAGTAACCAGCAAGGGGCGCCACGAGACCAATGACAGCTCTACTGGGCTCTGCTGTGATCTCAGGCCTCAGGGTGTTGGTGCTGGTTCAGGTGAGGGGAAACCAGCGTTGCCGAGGCAAATGCCACGCAGAGGCTGCACGTCCAGGCTCCTGAGTGCCTGCTGGCGATTCTGGAAGAAATGTGTCTCCTTTAGTGGCCAGGAGTTCAGCTCCAATGCTCAGAGTGAGGGCTTGTCTGTAACTAATTTGGGGCTGCAGCTGAATATCTTGGGGGACCCGGGAAGTGTCCCCCTACCAGATCCATTGGCCATGCCTTGGCTCCCCTGGGCCTTTCTCTGGCAGTGGCCTCGGGCCCCGACTGGCACTGGCACACCCAGGAGGGAGCCTGGCCTGGCTTCTCCCCCGTGACTCGCTCCAGTGCCAGGCCTGGGGCGGCCGGCCCAGCTTCAACCGCAGTGTGCAGTCAGGGCAGCTCTGTGTGCCCTCGTGTGCAGCCTGGGTCTGGGGAAGTGCGGGTGGAGGCGGACGCCCCTCCCTGGGGGAGGGAGGCCGTGAGGATGTGCTCAGGGCTCTGCCGTGGAGGCCGTCTCCTTGGCCTTAGAAAGGAGCAGGGCACAGCCAGGGAGGGAGAGCACCCAGAGGGAGAGATGTCTGGACACAGGTTTGATCCTGGTAGCCTTGAGGTGCCGGGGGACATCCCTGGAGTCACATACCATCAGGGCTAGAGAAAGAAATCAGGGGTGGCCGTGTCCAGGGGGAGCTGAAGTCATGGGAGTAGTGGAAGCAGGTGGAGTGGCTGCTGGAGAGGCAAAACGGGGTGCCCTTTCCCTTCTGCCTGGTGAGGTGGTCCACAGCAGCCCCCACCCTTTCCGCCCCTCCTGGCCCTGCTGCCTCAGGGTGGGGCGAGGGCACTTGGCGCATGCCAGCCTGTCTTTGATGGGCTATTGCCCCCTTCCTGGACTTAGCAAAGGACAGCTACCCCCGGTGGGGACGCTGCCCACCTGAGTCCCAGCCTGCTGCACCTGCTAGAGGCCTCCTTTCTCTTCACCCTCCCAACCCGCCTGCCCCCTCCGGCAGGGAGAGCCTTTCCCTCTGACCCAGTCAGGCCTGGCCATGGTCCCGGTGTCTATTCCCATGCTCTCTCTTGGGGCAGGTGGCCTTTCTCAGGCTTCTCCACAGGTTTTCATAATATTCCCAGGTGGTTTGGGACTGCCCATTACACACGGAATTACCAAAAAGGTTAGGCCTGGACACACGCTGGGCATAACCAGCTGGCACCCGGCCTGGGACCTACTCAGCACCAAAGCTCCTCTCCCCGCTCATCTCTGGCGAGGCCAGTCCAGCAGGGTATGGTCCATCCTCGGTGCGGCCCCCTCGTCCTCCCGGTGCGGTGCAGCCCTTCCTAGCGCTTGCTGCTCTGCCAGCCGGACCCCCACCCCATGCCCGTGTGTCCTTGATGGCCAGGGCCTTGGGTGGCTCCGAGGACTGTGGACAGATGGGGCACAGCCCCCGGGGACCCAGGGGTCCCTTGTTACATGCTGTGTGATATTTGGAAGCCTTCACCTCTCGGGGTCTCTGCTTTCTTTTTTGTAAAATACAGGGTCAGGCACAAGGGACGCCATTGAGCATGGCTGGTAGGGTACATGAATGTCTCACGCAAGATGGACAGCAACCTGAACATTTCATCTAAAACGTCATGTGGTGTGCTTGAGTGTGATAGTTATGTTGCAGAATTACATGCTTAGGATTTCATAGAAGATTCAGTACAGATTACCAGCTCATAAAACAAGGGCGTTATTTGTGCTGAACCCTGTAGAACCAATACTCTCAGCTTCCCAGGAGTGGGAGGGGCCCGGTGTGCCGTGAGCCATCAGAGAGGGGAGCTGGGGTTATTGTGACACTGCCATTTCCCCATCGCATCATCCACAGGGGAGGATAACAATGTCCATGGACCCCAAACTCCTCAGTGCGTCCAGGGAGAGGATGTTGGACCCTGGTGGTGGGACCTGGGAGGAGTTAGCCGCTTGCAGAAGGTGGGGTTGGGCCAGTTCCTCTGGCACGGGGAAGGGCCGATGTCCTGCAGGCGGCTCTCCGCCACCTCTAGCCTCCTCTCGCCATGCCCCCTGCTGATCCCTGAGCTCGTTTTCCTCCTGGACCTTGAGCTCAGCTCATTCCCATGCTGACACTGTTCGGGCATGTGGAGGAAGGGGGTGGGTCAGACAGTATAGACAGCTCTTCCTACCTCGCCCTGGGGTGGGTGCACTGAGGGTGGACTGCAGGAGCAAGGAGACCTCCAACGCCCAGGGAGCTGCACGCTGAGAAACAGAGGGATCTTAGACTGAGGATGGGAAAGGGGACATCCCAGTGGGCTCACGAGGAGGAACGGGAGCCGCGGAGGGCGGGAGCTAGAAGGAGCTCTGGCTCAGGGCAGCCTCCTCCCCAACTCAAACGCCTCCGGAGAGAAGGCGGGATCCTCCCATTTCCCTCTAGCTGTGTATTTTTAGGTTAAAGATGCTCACAGTGAGATTACTGCTTTTTTCACAGTTGGCATTAAAAGCGCAAAATAAGTCTCAATAATTATGTCACATGTTATTTCTCCTTATACAAGAGCCCCCTGGGCTTTTGCTGTTTGGTGACGTGGGAAGGCATGAAGGGAATCCCCACGTGGGCACAGGGGTGGCAGGGCGCGAGACAAGAGCAAGGTTCGTGCGTGTGTCTGTGCGCTGAGTATCTGCGCCTGTGCGCCCTGTGCATGCGCCTGTCTGCCACCCCCATCCAGGGCTTTGTGTAGCTCCTGGATCCACGGAGGTGACGAAGGGTGGCTCTGTGCTCCCCGTGGGCTCCTGCCCCTTCCGTCCAGGTGTGGAGTGATCAGGGGCAGAGCCAGGTGAGGACCCTCAGGAGGCACCATCCCCTTCTGCTCCTCCTGGGAAGGACATCTCCACCAATCCCTGACCTTGATCTTGGGCCCCTTTCCTCATCTATGAAATGGATCACTGCAGACAACCTGCCTTGGAAGTGAGTGTTAAATAAAGTAATTTGTAAGGAGCCTGGTGCAGGGTGAACAAACGTCCTTGACTTCTAATTAGTGTTTTCCACCACATGGAGATGCCTCTGATAGAGTCAGCAAATGATGGGCCTGTGGAAGCACCTCCTTCCCACGCCCCCCAGGGCCCACCCTGCACTGCTGGGGGCTGTCGGCACCCTCTGGGCTCTGCAGACGCCTCTTCTGCTCTGAGGACGGCTGTGACCCTGGCAGAGGTGTCTTTAGGGTACGAGGAGTCTGGCTGACAGTGCCGCCTGGGTGGGGCCTTGGGGGCGGCAGGAGCCATCATCACCCCCAAACCTCAGCCCCCGGGGCACATGGGATGGCAGGGCTCCCCACTTTTGCAGGTTCTTTCCTCTTGTGAGGTTGTTTGTTCTTGATTTCCTTTCAAGATGATTTTTACCTAAATGTGTGTGTGTGTGTGTGTGTGTGTGTGTGTGTGTGTGTGGAGGGGGGGAAGGGGGGGCAGAGAAAAAGGAAGCTCAGGGTGGAAGGCGTCCCCAGCTGCCCTCCCAGAGGTCAGCCCTGCACACACACAGCATGCTGGGACGAGGCTTGGCTCATTCAGGATATTTTATTTTCTTAAAGTAGACAATCTGTGACTTTCATACCATACCAGCTCCTCTTCCCTCTGTTCATCTCTGAAAGTCCTTGGCTGCGACTCTGCGCCCTGACCTTGGACACGTCGGTACTGAACAAAGGCGAAGAGAGAAGATTTGGCAAGGTCTCTGGTGGTGCCTTCCCTCTCTGCGGCAGCAGGGGTTCATATTTACACGTGGCCCTTGGCCAAGGTCCTCTCACAGCGGCAGGTGCCACAGGCCCCAGGGCAGAATGGGCGGAGCTGGTGGCCCCAGCAGGGCCTCCCTCAGGCTACAACGCTGGCGGAGCCTTCACAGGAGTCGCAGCCGCTCTCGGCCTCGGGCGCCGGGTGTTTGGGCCCAGAGCCCCGTCTCTCGCCTTCCCTTCCTCTACTTGCGAAGCCACACAGATAATTTAATCTTTAAGTACCAAGACATTTAGCTATTGTTCATTCGCTCCTAGGTGAAGGACCTTCTTTAAATACATCACATTTATTTTCTGAAATAAAAACGAAGCAGAAACCGCACCAGTAACAAGAGGACGCTGCACAGGCGTATGTACAACGCTGCCCTGCGAGGCTGCCACAGGGCGGCCGTCGCTCCAGCGTCGCTCGGGAGCAAGGGACAGACTCATCCAGATAACAACTGTTACACTCAGCAAGCCAGACACAAAAAGGACCACCTGAAAAAAAATAGGTTTCGAAAATCTGCATTTTAAAAAAGAATACTCAACTGCATTTGAAATTGTCTGTATTTGTTTTTCTGCGAAACACCACGAGGTTTGGCCAAAAAAAAGGATGTCAGAGAAGAAAAACCAGGTTTGATTTATAAAACATCAGACGAGTAGGAAAAGCTGGAACCCAGCTGGCCTGGTTGGAAACAAATCGTGCCACTCATGTTATTGTATGGATTTTTGCTGCATATTTTGAAGCTGTTTAAAAAGAGCTGTGAGTGGCTGGAGGTCTGGTTAGTGCTGTCAGCTGGCTGCGTACCCTGGTTCCAGAACCGGGTAGGCCAGAGGTGGGCGTGTCCAGCAGGGAAGGTGCTCGGACCCTTTCTGGTCCTCCCTCCCGGTCAGTGGCAAGACCCCTATTCTAGGGCAGAGCTGGCCCCCTCCAGGTGGCCCAGCTGCCTCCCCCGTAGTCCCACGGGGGCCCCCATGCCGAGTGGGGCCGACTCAGGAAGGGGAAAGGGCTTATAGGGAACTTGGTGGCAGCTCCTCAAGTCTTCAAGAGGCCTCAACGCTTTGGGGGGACTTTGCTGTCTCCAGACTGCGTGTGTGCGTGTGTGTGTGTCTACCTACCTAGCAATCTATCCATATATATTTATGTTTGTGGAAATGTGGGAGCCAAGGAGGCAGAGGGGCGGGGGGGGGACATCTTCAGGCCCCCCATTTTCTGCCCCTGGGCTGGGTCTCCCTAGCACAAGTGGAGTTGGGGTGGGACACCCCAGGGGTTTCGTCACAGGCAAGCGGGCTGGCCCGGCCCCTCAGCAAAGGCCTATGTACTTGAGATTGTTCTGTATGATGACATCTGTCACTGCGTCAAAGACAAACTGGATGTTACTGGTGTCAGTGGCGCAGGTGAAGTGGGAGTAGATCTCCTTGGTCTCCTTGTTGCGGTTCAGGTCCTCGAACTGCCGCTGGATGTAGACGGCGGCCTCCTCGTAGGTGTTCTGGCCCTTGTACTCAGGGAAGCAGACGGTGAGCGGGATGCGCCGGATCTTCTCCGCCAGCAGGTCCTTCTTGTTCAGGAAGAGGATGAGTGAGGTGTTGATGAACCAGTTGTTGTTGCAGATGGAGTCAAAAAGGCGCAGGCTCTCTGCCATTCGACTCTGAGGGGGGAACAGGCTGGCGTTAATCTGGTGCAGCAAGGAAAGACCCTAGACCCCCAGCCCTGCTGGGAGGAAGCCCCCGACGCAGTCTCCCAGCCCAGGGCCGGCCCCCGCCAAAGCACTGCTCTGTTGGGAAGTCCCTCCTCTGCCAGGTCAACTGTCCCCACCCATCTCCCACAGGCTCTGGAGCCCTGGAGTGGCTGGCACCGGCCTCCCAGCCCCGAGAGCCCTGCGTGTGTTTGTCAGAGGCTCTCCTTCCCTGCTGGCCCCTCCTCTGGGCCCTAGGAATGACAATACGTCGCTTTGGGACTGCAGCCTGGCCTCCCGCAACCCGGTGGACTGGGGCACCTCTACCGTCGCAGCCTGAGACCAGCTGCCCGACCTGCACGTGCAAGCTCTAGCCTCCCGGGGGAGACGCTGTCCTCACGTCCCCCTCACTGTGAGCATGGGCGGCCTTCTGCCCGGCAGGCAACTCCGCCCGCTGGGGTTTGGGCCCCATCCTTTGAGCCTCAGTCCTGCCACATGGAATATCGTCCGTCCTCAGCCAGAGTTTGTGAGGGGGTGGCCTGTGCTCTCAAAACCAAAGGCTCCAGCTCAGAGAGCTGGGGAAGGCCTGGACACCTCTCACCTCTGTCCCTGCTGGGCCTCGGAGTCCCTAGAGGTTACACGTGGCCTCCCCCAGCCAGGCAGCTCCTGTGGCCCCACGGCCTGGGGGGACATGGGATGGCAGCTCGACAGGTGCAGGAGCCACAGAGCGTGGTGCCTGGCCCTCCTTCGCCACCCCCTTTCTGAGGACTTTAAATGTGCCGTAGCGATTGTGGTTTTCTGAGAAACATACTGTGTTTGTCTGACTCCCAAACCCACTGTTTCCACACAGAACTGACAGTTCTAACCGCTGAAAGGAACTTCTACTGCTGGCAAATTACTGCTGGTGGAAGCTGCCCCCTTGTTTAAAGATAAAGTGAATAAGCTGAGTGTCCAAAGTCTAGAGCCAGTTTAGCTTGGATCTGGGGCTTTGGATTTAAGAACTCTCCTGACCAATTACACCACGGACACGGTAATAACAGCGAAAAACGCAGCGGTGCTGATAGGGCGGACGCAGGGCGCCGGCGCGTCTGAGCCTCCCACCCTCCTGTTCCCACTGTACCGGTGACGGAACCGAGGCTTAGAGGCATGAAATGTGCTCCGAGTCCCACAGCCCGGAGCTCCAGGCTCACTGCATCTGCAGGGTGGACCCGAGGGCGGTCATCGCAGGGTGGGGCGCCGGGGAGGATGCCCCACTGTAGCCCTGCTGTCCCGCAGGCCCCGTGTGCAGGTCTGACGGCGACAGTGCTGTGGAGGAACCAGGCTGAACGGGGGAGGGACACACACACCCAGATGCAGGGTCATCACCCCCGACAACTGCCCTGGGATCCCTCCCTCCGCCTGGCTGATCGTGTTTTTCAAAACCGATGTTGCACCTTCTTTAGAAAAAGCTTAGAAATAACAGAAGCTCTGAAAGGCGAGGAGTCTCAGGTCTTGGGGGAGGACCTCTCTGCAGAGATAAACGGAGTGCTGGCACCCCATTCCCAGCAGTGCCAGGAGAAGCCGCACACATTCCCAAACGTGAGAGCTAAGTGGTGCCCTGGGACTGTCACAGGCTGCTGGGGAGTAATTAGCTTTTATGGATTCCTGGAAGCCACTCCGTAAAGACTAACGGAGCTGTCATTTCTCATAGGGGTGATGTCATAATCAGGGCCTGCACTTCTGACCCCAGATTTTACATCAGATAAATAATAGATGCAGCCATTAGCCCATATTCATTAATTCATTGAGCAAATACTTGGTGAGCCCACCTTGAGGGTCAGTGACAGGGCCCAGCTCTTACGACAGGTGATAAAGCCCCAGAAGCCAGGCAGAGGGCTTTCCCCCAGGCTGAGAGGGGGATGGCCTGGCCACCAGCAGGTGGGACTAGCAGGCCAATGGCTGGGGATGGAGCCGGGCTTCAAAGACAGGTGGTCAAGCCCAGAGTGAGGGCCAGCAGAGGGGGCAGGATGTGGTCAGGGTCCTGGCAGGGGTATCTGCCTCCCTGACCCCTGCTGGGTCACTTAAGTGAGAGCCGCGTGGCTCTTGTGCCCTGCCCAGCCTCGCTTGGACAGACAGGCTGTGGAGTCTGGGAAGAGGGGTGGGAAGGCCTCCTCCACGCACTGAGGCAGTGCGTGTATGCAGGCCGCCGGGCCTGCAGGGGGCTCGGCTGGCAGTCTTCTGCGGGGTACATGTATGTGGGAAAAGTTCAGCTGCTGGGTCCAGAGTGGAGTGACCCTTCCACCGAAGGGTCTGTGGGATGGGAGGGAGCACAGCCAACTTGTCGTCCTCCTGCTCGGACCCGCTGCAGGCCCCTGACTTTAGGCCCCAATGCCCAGCCCCCGTGAGCCCTATGCACTGAGCGCCCTTCTGCCCTGCGGGAGCCTCTGCCCCTTGGCGGACGTTCTGGAGCCAAATGACTCGCTGGGCCCCATGTTCTTTGCCAGGAAATCCCTGGAACTCAGGCACGTGTCTCCCAAGGCATCTGGGAAGGCAGCGGTGCCCTCGGCCACCCCGTGCACGTGCTCAGTGTCACTATGGCTGTGCAGTCACATCAGGACCACAGGCCAGGCATCACCCTCATCTCAGGCCCTCGCCTGCTCCTGTGGCTCCTCTGGCTTTATTGGCACTTGGGGACTCAGGTTCCTGGTTCCCTCTCTTCTTTGGGACAAACCACGGAACAACCTTGGCCATCAATTAGGTGCCAGGGAGATTTTGTGGTTATCATAGAATAACCACAAAACCTTCATACAGATGCCCTGCCCCCATAGGCCCGACCACAAAGTGGGTGGGCGAGGTGGGGCCAGAGCCCTCTGGTCCTTTGACACTGTGCCTATGGTGTCACTGTCACTGCAGGATGTGTGTTCCTGCAGCCCAAGCACTGCCAGGTGGGCAGGGCAGCATCTTGACACCTTGAATCTCAAATCATTGAAAAAGGAGCTTGCTATTTTGGGCTGTAACTCTGGAAACCGTGAGAGGCACACACGAGTGTGAGTACGGGAGTGAGCCCACCGGCTTCCAGGGTCTCCCCTGGCACACGTCTGGCTGTGCCCCTTCACCAGGATAAAGTCCCAGCCTCTCAGTATGGCCTGTCGGGCCTCCCCTGGCACCCCCTGAGCCCTGGTCGGGTGGGCATGGCCTGAGTGCCAGCTGCGGCCCCATCCTTCTCCCGGACCTGGGGGAGGCTGCACCCTGCCACCCAGCTCTGCCCAATTAGTGTCCTGGGTCAGAGCTGCTGCCGAGGGCCCCGAAGGTGGTAAGACAGGCACCATCCTCCTGTGGTCCGACGGGGCCATTTTGGCGAGAGAAGCCAGGAGCAGCTTTGGCATCACAGTAGCGTCCCACCCCCTGTCCTGCTGCCACTTCCATCAGCCTGACACACACACCCGTCCTCTCCTCAGACCCAGAATCAGAGGAGCTGCCTCTGCCACTCAAGGCCACGCTGCAAGGTGGGGGCACCACATACTTCACACACAGGGAGACAGAGAGGAGGCTGGGATGGCCAACTCCCAGGCCTCAGCTGAGAGCCCGAGTTTCCCCCACCCACACCTTCTTCCAGCCAGAAGCCCTCCTTGCATTTACCTCTCCAGCTGCCACTGCAGCAGAGGTCGTGGATGCTCCCAGGAGGAAATGCACCTGGGTAGGGCCTTGGTGCCCACCCAGCTCTCTCCAGGGCGCACTCACCATGGGACGGCACCTTCTAGGAGCCTGGGGTTTGTCTGCACATCCGTTTATATAAATAATGCAGAGCAGACGATTCCTATCCGGAGCCTGTGCAATGGCAGGAATCTCACCACTCAGTGCTGAGAAACCAGTGCTTTGTAACTAAGCGTGTGAGACCCCGGGAAGCAGTCGGCAGCTGGGCGCAGTCCCCAGGGTGGTACCGAAGTCATTTCTTGGCCATTTGTAAAAAAGACATCTTCTGCTCAGACAGATCCAAATAACACCCCACACCACTGAACAGATGTCCCGCCAAGGTGGTGTGTGGGTGTTGCCTGCTTGGGCCATGGCTGTTCCTGATCATCTGTCCCTAAGAGGTTCCCAGCCTGCTGGCCTGAGTTGAGTCTTTGCTCAATACCAAACTCAGTGGTGGAGGCCTTCACTCCGCACACGCTGCCACGCACGGCCCCTGCGGCGGCGCTGTCCAGCCTGGCTCCTGGAAGGATGTTCTGCGGAGGCCAGAGACTAGGGCAAGCGGAGGCACAAAGGCGAGCGAGGAGGCCTTGGCCCCTTGGTCCCGATTCTCCATGCAGGCTCTCCTGCTGATTCTGAGCATGGGCTCTGGGGCTGGAGGCCTGGGGCTCTCTGTCACCGCCAGTGCCTGCCGCGCCTCGGACAAGTTGTTTCTCCGCTCTGGGCTTTGGTTTCCTCATCAGTAAACTGGGGGTGGCTGTGCCCATCAGGAAACTGTGTCGGGACGGCTGCGAGGAGGAAGGAAGGTGCTGACGTGAGGAGAACCTGGATCCGCGGGCCTTGTTCTGTGGCCGCCACTGCTGTCCCAGTGAGCGCTTGCTCGTGCCACCCGCAGCCCCTTGCCTTGGCACTGCATGCCTCTCATTTCTTCTCTCCTCTCGGGGGAAGATCTGCCTCCCAACACGAAGCCACTGTGGGACGTGGCCGCCCAGCCTCAGGCAGCTCTGTGGCAGGGAGGAGATGGCTGCGCTATGTAGGCCGGGGTTCAGCCAGCACTCGCTGGGCTCCTGGGGCCAGTGATGCCTCTGTGCTGGTCATGGGTCCCAGTCCTCCTGGTTCCTCTGGGAGGTTCCTGTGACGGCTCATGGCCTGGAGACCCGAGGCCACCTGGGCCTTCCCCACTTGTCACATGGACCCTGCAACACACCGTGCCAGCACCTTCCGGCTCCGAACCCTTCCTGTTTGCTATTGGGCCCGCCCCTCGTGGTTGGCTCCCTCGCTGTTGGTGGGGCACGGGATGGCCC